TCACTCACTCACTCACTCATCACTCATCACTCACTCCCTATTGTTAATACCATGGTTTACTAGAATTATTATGATTATGTTTATGCTTATAGTTGATAGTAGAACAATAGTGATAACCATATATTGTTACTATTTTTTTGATTATCATGTTTCGTGCTATTGTTAGTGTCAAAACGGCAACTGCTTTTGCTATGCTTAACAAGTATTCTCAGAGTTTAATTGCACAAGCTTCTCTTGGCCATAAACCCTTTGGGTCCAGCCAAAAAGGCTTCCGGGCTACATTGAGTCTTAGCGTGAACATCTGTGGCCGGCAGTTGGGGTTTAGGGTTCTGGGTTTAGGATTGTGGAGCCACTGAGCCACCCATGAGCTCTAAAACTCAATGATATATTTGGTGATTTGCATAGGGCGGGTATTTTTGTTCTGTATCAACTTGGGAGACCAAATTACAGGAATGCTACTCATAACTAAACCCTAAACCCTAAACCCCTAAACCCTAAACCCTAAACGCCCAAACCTAAACCCTAAACCTGTTCAAGCCGGGCCCTTATCTGATCGCGAAGATCCGTTTCTTCCCTTGCATCGTCAGGTCTGACTGGAGGCAGCCGAGGAACTTGCGTCGCTGGGAAAATCACGGCACTTTTGGGGTTCAGGCTTTCAAGGTCTCTCGACAAACCTCAAACAGCAACAAGAATAGCAGAAGCCCTAGGGTCTCAATAGTACCGGACTTACACAAACCCATAATAGCCCTAAGCCTTAAACTCTGTACCCCAAAGCCATACTAGTAATTCCTGATCTGGACTTGAAGCCCTACTGCCTATCATGCCAGTACTCAGCATCGACGCATATGTCCCTCGAGAGAGACCGAAGTGGGAGCCAACACAGGCATGGCTCAATTCCAGCAGTGCTTTGCCGCTTAGGCTGCAAGGTTAAAGGGGGGGGGGTTCAGCACTTTAGGGTGGCATTAAGGCTTAGGGTTAAGGGTTTACGATGGTTTACGATGCACTTGGGGTTTAGAGTGTACTGTTTAATCAGGGAACTGGATTCCCTAGACGGCTCAGAATTTCCTAAGCCTCAAACCGCTTTGGGTTTGAAATTACATGGCGCCAACCTTCCCCCCGACTCGGCTCTGGTGCTGAAGATGGGTGAGGCGAGCGAACATATCGAGCTCTGAAGCGCCTACTTTCTGGGGCAGTCAGCACCAATCAATGCATATATATATGTACACATACATACATACATACATACATACATACAGTTACATATACATATAGGTATATGTACATGTATGCATATGACGTAAGCTGTAGTAGTCTCCGAACTTCGGGATGAATTTGTGGCATTCTTCTGTCATTGGCCAGAGCGCCGGAAAACTTCGCGGTGTGGAAACTCCGGTTGCGAAGACAGGGCTTATCGTGGCACTAAGTATGCTACCTACCTTTTTAGGTATTGTGATTTCCTTACGGACGTCTTTGCAAATGTGGGTTTTATGAAGATCCGCCCAGCGCCGAAACACTCCATTCCTGGGGTAGAGTGTGCAGGGTTTGACTGGGATTTTGTCTCCGGTTGCAGGCATGAGGCTGGGTTACACAGACAAACCGAAAAACAAAAGCAACGTGCAGCGGATCTCTAACTTGCAGCACAACAAAAGATGCAACAACTCCGTTAGAACTACTCAGAACAAGATTCTCAACAACCCAACCAGGTCCAAAAAAACATGAGCCTAGGCTCGTGAGCCAAGACCGCTAAGCCAAGATCTGGCTTGGAAAACCTCTAGCATCCGAACAGCCTCGACAAGGCCGCATCTTCGCAGTAATTGAGGCATGGTGCTGCTTAGACGAGGTTTAGGGTTTTAGGGTTTAGGGTGAATCTTGGTCCGTAGCGAAGACACGTCTCGCAGAAGGCCCTATCTAGCGAAGCTCGCTTGCCACCTCCTCAAGCTTCTTGAGAAAAAACGGTCTCCAAAATCAAACCGCGCGCTGAGGCCGTTCCCACATAGGCTGGCTCCCCATGCCAGAATCTTCAAGCCAATCATGTGCCGATGGAACGGCTGAAAACGGCACCGCGACTTGCTGCTCCACCTTCGCAGGGAAGTCCTTCCTATAGGCATTGTGAACCACAGAGGATGTGTGTAGGGCTGCCGAATGGACATCTCGCATAACATCTGCAGATGCAGGGTCTGAGACGCCTTTCAGTTCCTGCACATCGCGACCGGTACGGGTTCTCAGCATCCGCGAGATCGAGGGGGCCGAAATAGTTCATCTGCGTCTCCAGACACACCTTTTTGCACAAACCTACACCTTCAGGTAAGATGTCTCCATGCTTAGTACCGGATGGAAGGCATCCTGTAGGCATGAGAGGATTTCTTGGACTTTGGCTTCCAAGTCCAGCATGTCGGTTGGAGGATTCACCAGCAACACCTGGGCACCCAAGTGATGGTTTTGGGGTTTGATGATTTGGGTGGTTCTCTAAATTGGGGTCCCTTTTGGGTTCTTTTGTATAAAGGTGCCGCCCATAAAAGGGGACCCTGGTGTAGAGAGCTACCCATTTACGGCTTAGGCCCCAATGTTCAGAGGCGTAGGGAGCTCGCCACGCCATCCTCACCCCCTTACATTCGAAGCTCTACAGCAAAGACCCTTTAACCTTAACCTTAAACTCTAAACCGCAAACCCTAAACCCCTAAAAGCCCTAAACCCTAAAAAAGCCCTTAAAAAGCCCTAAGCCCTGAACCCCAGTCGGCTTAGATCTCGAGGCCGAATCTGCGTTGTGGCTGTCGCAGGTAGTTTGAGGTTGATCAGCTTTGGATACCTAGAAGCCCGCCCATGCAACTGACTGGGCTGTGACAAACAGACAGACAAACGGGCGGACGGATGGACGGACGGATAGAGAAATAGACAGATAAAGAGAAGGCCCCATAGCTCTATATGGGGAGTTCTCTAAATTAGGATCCCGTTTGGCGTCCTTTTTTTTTAAGGGTGTCCTACTATATTTTGGACCAAAAGAGGGCCCTAATTTGGAGAACTACCCATATGCTATAGTGACCCGTTAGGCAAGTATCTGGAATCCTAGGCCCGAGGCCCTGTGTGAAACAAGCCCAGAGCAAAGCTTCACTCTATAAATCCTACGCCCAGGGTTTAGGGTTTAGGGAACCCTAAACCCTAAACTCTACCATAAATTAACCCTAAATCCTAAGCTCAACCCCTAAATCCTACAGCCGAGACTCCACCCAAAAAAAACTCTAAGCCCAGCCGAATCCTAGACTCCACTCCACCCCAAAACAGTTTAGGGTTTAGGGTTTAGGCCCAACAAAAAATCTAAACCCTAAACTTCAACCTTAAGCAATGAACCCTACACCCTACCATAAACCCTAACTCCTAAGCTCAACCCTAAATCCTAGACCCGAGACTGAACCTTAAAAGCCCTAAACTCAACTCCAAACCCTAAACTCACCCTTCAAAACATGAACCCTACACTCATTAGGGCTTATAGGGTTTAGGGTTAAACCCTAAACCCTAAACCCTAAGGGTCTAGGACTCCAGACACCAACCTCCAGGATGCAGCAACACCGAACCACTGGCTGGGGAGACAAAGACTGCTGCTCTTGCTGAGACGACCCCCCCCCTCCCCCCCAAAAAAAAAACACCCACAACGGTTTAGGGTTTAGGGCGTAAGGTCTAGGGTTTAAGGTTTAGGGTTTAGGGTTTACAACAGGACCCCTACAAAAAAAAGCATGAACAACCCATGATACAAAGGCCCTTGTGAGCTGCCCATAGTCTCCAAAGTAGTTCCTGTTTTGGGCGGGTTACCTTTATAGGATCCCCCAGAGGGACTTTCCTTCGAAATGAACAAAGGGATCCGAGTACCCAAATAGTAAGGTTTTAGGTCCCAAAATCCATACCCTGAGTGGTTTTTGGACCTTGGAACCCTACTATTTGGGTACTTGGACCCTTAGGGTCCTAACAATACACCACAAAAAAGGAACTACAATGGAGCCTATGGGTAGGCTATACAGCGCATGACGAACCCTCGAGGAAACTAAAATACATAAAGCTCAGTTCGTTGCGCCAAGGTACGCCCGAGCTCACCAGCGCGCCCTTCTTCTTACCGAAGTCCGTCTCACAAAGCTCGGCGAAGACAGCGTTCTGCCTGAGCCATCGGGTGAGATCAAGGGTCCTAAGATCTAAAAACCTAGATTTCAAATTAAATTTCAGCGCCATAAAATCTTCAACAGTAAGTACAAATCAACCGTAAACCCAAAACCCAAATCGACCCTAAACCTGAACCCAAAAATCAATTTTAACCCGAAGCCCTGATTCCTAAAGCCCAATCAACCCTAAACCCTGATTCCGAAACCCAAATCAACCCTAAACCCTATCGAGCCCCAGATTTACCGAAGGCTTGTCGGTGAAGCCCAACTCCAGGATTCGTAGCGAGCTACGAATGAAAGGGCTCCCTTTTTAGGTTTTGGGTAGGGTTGTAGCGCTTAGGGTTTAGGTTATCTTGGGAGTCCTCTAGAGAACGGAATGACTAGGCTGAAGCTTTGGAGGGGTGTCATACAAAACATATTGCAACGGCCTAAGGTTGCGGGTTCAGGGGCTCAGGGTTTGCAGGGAATCCCGTGGAAAAACCTGGCCAACTAGCTAGGCCCTCCTTTTCAAGTCATTGCAAGTCTTCAGCTGGGTGCGCCGTGCAATCTCTCCGATGCTTCAGCCAGAAATCACAGACCCCGAAACCTGAACGCCAACACAAAAATCAAGAAAAACAAAAGGGTTTAGGGTTTAGGGTATGAACACATCAAAGACCTCCATATGAGCTCATGTGGTTTAGCGTATATGAACAGTAGTCTACCTAGTATTAGATATCTTTGCATCTATGTAACCTCCGGTGACAGAGCCAGGCTGATACCTAGTATTCGATACACCTTGAGCCCCAAACACGCAAGTCGCTCAAACATTCATCGAACAGGGCTTACTCCTAAACCCTAAACCCTAAACCCCTAAACCCCTAAACCCTAAACCCCTAAACCCTAAACCCTAAACCCCTAAACCCTAAACCCTAAACCCTAAGCTTACAAGGTTTAGGGCTTAGGGACGAGGGCCTCTGGTTTAGGGCATCGGGTTCGGGGGGCCGAGGGCTTTGGGCTGAAGTTAAAGGAAACTACGGGTGGGGAGTTTAGGGAATATAGGGCTTCCATAAGGCTTCTATAAGGTATATAGACCTTCTATAAGGCTCCTATAATGGCAACTACCCACCTGAAAATGTCCTGGACTTAAGAGCCAGGTACAAACCCAGGTCTCGGACTCGAAGATGAAGGCTTTGCCTATCCGCTTCTCCCGAGCACGGATACCACATCAGAATGCAGGTGTCCGGACACCTCAGGGGGATGGGGTTTAGGGCATAGGGCCTTTTGTAGGGCGCTAGGACTCATGAGGGCTAGAAGGGGGATCTCAATTATTCAAGAAGTCCCTTGTAGGAGCCCTTGGGAATACTGGCACGAACCAGCATAGCAACCTTTGAAGCCCGTAAGCGTACACGCTGAACCCTAAATCCCTAAACCATCAGGCCCCTAACCTTAAACCCTAAACCTAACCCTAAACCCTAATTAAACCCCTGACCCTACACCCTTAACAATCGGGGAGCTTAGGATCCTTTGCGCGGGGTCGAGAGGCACCTCTTGGGCTTCCGGGTTGCGCGCGTTAGGGTTTTGGCCAAGGTTCGCATTTAATAAGGGGGTCTAAGGGTTTAGGGCTTCTGACGGTTTAGGGTTTATCAGGGTTTAAGGGCTTAAGGGTTCAAAACGGTTTATAAGGGCTTTACGGGTTTAGGGCTTCAGGGTTCAAAATGGCTTAGGGCTTTAAGGGCTTTAAGGGCTTTACGGGTTTAGGGCTTAACGGTTTGAGGTTTAGGGTGTCGGGGTTCACGGATTGGAGCTCGCAGGATTTACAGCTCCTTGCTTTTGGGGAGCCATGGTGGGAGGGGCTCATCATCATTGTCTAAGGGTCCGCTAAGCCCCAAACCCTAAAATGCTAAACCCTGAACATCTCTAAACCCTTTAAACCCTGAACCTTAAACATCCCTAAAACCTTGAAACCCTACATTAAAGTTCAAATCCTAAGCCCTGAAGGTTACACGTTCTGGTCCCCCATGAAAATCCGAAACCTAACCCTAAACCCCTAACCCTCAACCCCTAACCCTACTACCTAGGATTCATGGTAGCCTTGTCAAAGCTTCATGGCCTTCCAGAAGCCGTATCGTCGTATAGTAGCCAAGCAAAACATTTACGGATCCCTTCTCGCACCCTTCGACTCGAACAAACCCTGTTCATTTTTTTTGGGGGGGGGATATCATCATCTAAGCATATTCGGGAGGCCTATGGAATAGTATTGCCAGTGAGTCATTTCTAACAAGCCACCGGCTTCGCAGACTGTCGATCGCCCACCTGGGCCGTAACCCTCTAAACCCAACCTTAACCGACCAAAACCTACTTTGTTGTAGGGCTCGCATAGAAAATTCCATGTTAGGGTTTTTATGAGAGCCTACAAATAAAGTAGGTTATAGTAGTTTAAGGAAGACCGGAGTCCTAACTTAAGACCCCTCACCCGGAAACTCTAGACCCCAAGCCCTAAACCCTGAGCCGTAACCTTAAACACCCCAGAAAAACCTAAACCCAAACGTCCACAACCAAGGTCTCACGGAAGGTCAAAAGGAACCAACCACCACAGTAGGGGGGGTTCTTTGAAGGTTCTATACGGGATTTATTTCGTCGTAAATGGTTTCGAAGGACCAATCGGGTTCTCAAAGAGCTATCAGGGTCCTTATGAAGGCCTCGCAAAGGATATGGGAGATCTTCCCGAGGAGCTGGAGGCAAAGTTGCGTCTCTACTCAAGCTGTCCGGGTTTTCTTGCTGGACTCAGGCAACAAGGGTTCGGGTTTGTGGGTTGTTGAAGGTTTGAAGAGCACCAAACTCTCTCCATCGTTGATCACCTGTCTGTTCTTCGCGAATGGCATCCATGGCCCTCTTCAGCTTGCTGGTTGCATGGTTGTGGGGCAGAAGCTCCATGTTGCACTCGGAAGGGTTGGATGAACTGCGACGGGCACCAGAACGGATGCAACACCTGGTTGAGCGTCTCTGCCGGGAAACTGCTGAGCAAGACTTCGCAAGTTTGCCCCTTTGACGTCCACGAGCCCTGCACAGATTCTGCTGCCCCCCCGCCCCCGCCAAGACATTCTGTAGAGCTTTATAGAGGGATGGACTACGCGGGGTTAGGATAGTAAAGGCGCCAGTCACTCGAGGGAATTATGACTTGGACCCTGAGGATACGTGCCCAGATCCGACAGAAGGGGTCATAACTAATTGTAACCAACTATACCTGATGAAAATACTGATAATCTCCATTGTTTCTTTGGTGGATCCTAACCATAACACTGGATAACCAGACAAATGGAGACACTAGGCATGTCATAGGAAGGTACAAGCCTAGAAAGGGCAAAGTAGACTTTCATCAAAGCCATTCGCACCTGTGCAGTGAAATCGCTGTGTAGCTTTACTGTATCAGAGACGATATGCCACACGTTTCTAGTCGTTCTCCATGGTTCACGGGAGTGTCTGCAGTTGCACATCTTAGAGAGAACAGCCTGGTGTACTAAGTAAGTTAGGGGGTATTGTATGCAGTGCACCACGAAGGTGATCGAAGCCTCTAAATTAGAAAACTTAGCACGAAGTGGCACAGGCTCGGATTCTCGGGCTGGACTCTTGGATCGCAGAATTCGGAATGATGCTGTGAAAGGCTCTCGGTGGTTGTGGAGGTGGAAATGTTTTTGGAAACTTCAGTTCAGACCTCAAGCACTGTAGCGCACGTGAACAACAAACACGGCTGCCACTGTGACTATTCGCTTGCTGCTTCAGCGAAGAGGACGGCTACTAAACAAGGATGCAGACAAGCGCAGCTGTGACAACCACCACCGTGGCACAGAACCCTCTTCTCATACTCCGTACTTAAACCCTAAACCCTAAATATTAAAGCACTTGTAGATGTAGCTTGGGCTCTGGCAAGTTCCAGGACAGGTACTGGCCTTAGTTGCTGAGTTCATAAGGTCAAATAGGGGATCGGTCGTATTATCCCAACAAAAAGTGTAAAGTGCACTCATTCGGCAACTAAGTGGCTGTAAGGCTCGTAGGGCGGATCCAACAAGATCAGGCCTCTCCCTGCCACGGACAAGTCAGACAAGTAGAGGTACCTGGAAGCATTGTCAAAGCCTAAACCCTAAGCCTTAAAGCTTGAACCCTAAACTCTAGAACCCTAACCCCTAAACCTTAAAGCTTGAACCCTAAACTCTGGAACCCTAAACCCTAAACCTTAAAGCTTGAACCCTAAACTCTGGAACCCTAAACCCTAAGCCTAAACCCTAAAACCTTAAACCTGGCACCCGAAAGCCTGAAATCCCCAAACCCCTGTCAGGCTATTCGGAACCCATGGGCTTCCGGGACCTGAGGAACCCAGAGAACCCAACGCCCCTTAATTAAGGTTTTGGGGTTTAGGGTTTAGGGTTTAGGCTTCCGGGACCGGAGGAAGCCAGAGAACCCTTAGCTAAGGAATGTACCTTAAATCATAATAGTACGGCCCTTAATTAAGGAATATAGACCTTTAAGGGCTCCTTCAAGGGATCCAATAAGAGCCCTTTAGGGGTTAGGCGTTTAGTAATAATTAGAATAGAACTGTTGGGCCCACCTAGAATAGTATTGGTACTTATTTCGGCCCTTACAGTACTTCTACTCTTAATACGGCACCCCCCCCTTGTTTGGGAACCCAATCAGGAGCCAGATGGGTAGAGCAATCTCGCGTGAGTTACAGCTCAGTAACTCTGGTTCGTCTGTAATTAATCAGCTATCAGAAGTCCAGTGTCTGCCGAGAGCTCAGTAACTCAACAGATAATCCTAGGAGGGTCTCTAGCAGGCATGAACTGCCTTTGGAAGCTTTGCCGCGGCCTTGCAGGACTATTCCACTATGTAGTCCCAAGCCTTTCTTGCTTTGAACCCTAAACCCTAAAAAACCTAAAACCCTAAGCCCTAAACACTGGGGTGCCCCGATTCTAAGCCCAGAGCTTCAACCCTGTATATCCCTGGCCGCTTCTAGAGGTAAAGGCTGTTCCTCTTCCGGCCAAGAACGAAACGGTTGAGGGTTTAGGGATTAGGGCTTATGGGGCTTAGGGTTTAGGGTCTAGGGCTGAGGGTTTAGGGCTTAGGGTTGAGGGTTTAGGGTGTAGCGTTTTCAGCGTAGCATGCTCTCGAAACACGGATGTCGCAGTGCTCTGCCACCCTCTGCTTGGCAAGTCGACATGGCCCTATTGTTTGAAAAAGGGCGAGCGAAGCATCGTCCTCTAAACCTTTACGGTCCATCGACTCGACATGCTTTCGTTCTGCGTCCAGAACATCGAGGTAAGGACAAAAGCAGCCTAGGCAGAGCAAACACAACAGAGCCGAGAAACCCTGAAGCCTACACCTCATCCCAAAATCTTTTCGGGCTTAGTTTTGGGTTTCGGGTTTAGAGGTTCATTACGGTGGTGGGCGGGATAACGCCTGGGTAATTCAGTCAGAGCGCGAATTCTCCCGACGAATGTCAACTCTCCTCGCTGCGCCGTCTGCGGCCAGCGTTCGGCCGAAAGCCGCTTCAAGAGCGGGCTGGTGTTCCTGCTGTATGAGTCTGTTAGGGTTTAGGGTCTGCAGATACACTCGAACCCTAAACCCTAAACGCAGCTGGCGTCAAGATCACGGTGATGATGATGATGATGATGAACAAGAAGACGAACGCTATCAAGGAGAACTTGAGTGTTCTGAGCACTGCTTCAACGAGAACTTGACAGATACCTATACCTAAACCCTAAACCCTAAACCCTAAACCCTAAAACCCCTAAACCCTAAACCCTAAAACCCTAAACCCTAGTAAAAAAAAACAGACCTTCTGCGAGTACCACTTCGGGCCGGAAAAGTTCAGGGTGTTGTCGAACAGGGCTGCCCCCGAAGCTTAGGGTTTAGGGCTTTAGGGCTTAGGGCTTAGGGCTTAGGGGTTTAGGGTTTAAATTTAGGGCTTAGGGTTTAGGGCTTAGGGTTTAGGGCTTAGGGTTTAAGGCTTAGGGTTTAGGGGTTTAGGGGTTTAGGGTTATGGGTTTAGGGCTATGATACACCCTCGACCAGAATGCCAGCGTTGGAGCGTTGGAGCTGCCATGTTCCCCGAGACTCTAACAACATCCCTCGCTTCAGCTCCCCTACGAACAAACACTAGACTCTAAGCCCTAAGAGCTCTAAACCCCACGCCCTAAGCCCTAAACAATCAACACCCTAAGCCCTAAGCCCTAAACCGCATTTTCAAGTCCCTGGAATCCTACTGTTGATGATATAAACCCTGCATTGCTTTAAGGAGCCTAAACTACGGGAACTATGGTATGTTCCTTATTATGAGTAATGCAGGGTTTATATCATCAACAGTATCTTGTAGTCTCCTGGGAAGCTTCCAGGGCCGTCATCCTGTCTTGCTGGCGGATCCTGAGCATCTGCTTTCACAGCAGATGTATACATACATAGTCATACATACATATTCATACACACACACACATGTATATATATATATATAGATATAAATAAGTAAAGGTATACGGAGATAGTATAGCTACCTGCGCATACCTATGGGTTGAAAACAGCATGCATGGATGCATATACGAACAGCTGTACAGACACGCGTACGGGTTGAACTGATGGCCACGGCGGCTGTAGCACGGTCTGAACTGTTGTAGCAAAGGTGCTGCAGGCTACGCACATCACTCATGCGACACCGGCGGCATCACGACGTGCTGGGAATTCTTATCATCTAGATTGTAGATTCAAAGGAATGGTTACGGATGCATTTGCACCAGCAGCTCGACTTGCCCTGGGGGGAGGCAGGGACCAGGCAAGGCGAAGAAGGGCCAAGTGTCCAGCAAGTGGCCAGCGAGGGAGAACCCAAATACCACCTGCATCCAGCGGTTCGAGTTCTGAGTTGCTGAGTTCAGAAGCACAAAAAAGTGTACACTTTCAGGTCTTGTCGGGATCATATTATCCCAGAAAGTTTAGAGTGTAGTACTTCAGCTACTAGGGGTTTGTGACATAAAACCACCCGAACCCTCCTTGTTGAGGTTCTAAGCCCTAAACCCTATAAAACCCTGGCAAGCCCCGAGCCTCTGAGTCTAGCCCGGCCCAACTCGAAGTCGGTGATGCGAGACTTAGTTAAAGGAAACTACAGGTGGGGAGTTTAGGGTATATAGGGCTTCCAGAAGGCTTCTTTGAGGTATACAGACCTTCTACAAGGCTCCTGTAACGGTAACTACCCACCTGAAAATGTCCTTGACGTTATACCGCTAAGTCTCGTAAGTCCCGAACTCACCACTTCCCTGGGCTCAGAAGCAAGGGTTTCAGGATAGCCTAAACCCTAAACCCTACCCGGACCCTAAAGAACCTACCTTTTTGGAGGTACTTATCATGAACTCATTTTATATATAAGTCCTTAAAAAGGTAGGGGATTTGGGGTCAAGGTAAACCCTAAATAGATCCTTCGAAGTTCGGCGATGACAGGCCTCGTTTCGTTCGGGCCGTTCAATCGCCGATTGGCCTCGCACAGGAGGGTTTAGGGATTTGAGGCATCTGTTTGTCTGATGCCTTACTAGACCCTAAACCCTAAACCCTACGCCGCTTCACAGTTAGATGCTAGCGGGCCTTTGCAAGGTTTTTGTTTCAGGCCTTCTCGATGGTTCTGCTTCGAATGTACATTTATCTATACCTATATGGCATATATGTATATAAAATGTATATGTACATATAACATATAATGTGTGTGTAGTTAATATCTACATACATATATATATGTATATATATGTATATATATATATATATATTAATTAATTAATTATATATATATGCATATATATATATATGTATATATATATATAAACTCCAAAGGCTTCCAGAAGACTCAGAGCCTCCAGCAGTGACGCCACGGCAGCCGGGGTGCCGGAACTGAGCCGGTGATGATGCCTGCGTTAAAGGAAACTAGAGGTGGGGAGTTTAGGGTGTATAGGGTTTAGGGTTTAGGGGTTAGGGTTTAGGGGTTTTGGGGCTTAGGGTTTAGGAAAACTAGAGGTGGGGAGTTCAGGGTGTATAGGGTTTAGGGTTTAGGGGTTAGGGGTTTAGGGGTTTAGCGGTTTAGGAAACTACAGGTGGGGAGTTTAGGGTATATAGGGCTCCTATAAGGCATTACAGACCTTCTAAGAGGCTCCTATAAGGGTAACTACCCACCTGAAAATGTCCTAGACTGCGGCTTCTCTCCGAGCTTCGGGTATTGAGGTTTAGGGCTCAGGGTCAAGAGGGTTTAGGGTTTAGGGTCCAGAGTTTATAGGGTTTAGGGTTTACAGGTTTTAGGGCTTAGGGTTTGTAGAGGTTATAGGGTTTATAGGGTTCAGGCTTCAGGGTCCTCATTTTCTTTTAAGTTTGACACAAGGATCTTGAAGGTTTGGGTTTAGTGTCAAGGTTTCTTCAGGGCTTTGCTTTCTGTAGGAGTTAGAAAAAATCATAGGTAAAGCCTCTACGGCTCTTGAAGGCGATATCTGCTGTGCTGGAACGTGGATATGCAAGATCGAAGCGTCAAGCTTCGCAGGGTTCGTTCTGCGGTCTCTAAGAACCCCATAAGCCTATATGACAACTGGTGAACGGCGTGAACCTGATTTCTTTGTTTAAGCGCTTATTTGGGCCTAATAGGGCTGGGTAGAATTTGCTTGAGATACCTGTGGCCCAAAAGACCTACCTGTTTAAGGAACCATATATAGCAACGATATTAAGGAACCCCAAAAAGGTAGGTCTTTTCGGCTACAGGTAGGGTTTGGGGGCCCTTAAGCTGGGTTGAGGGCTGCCTGCGCAGAAACCGAGAGGTCAGCCTGAGGCCCTCTTAGTCTAAGTGCCACCAAAAACCCCAAACACAAAAACAACCCTAAACCCCGAAAGCCCTAACCCCTAAACCCTAAAACCCAAAACCCCTAAACCCCCAAAACCCCCAAAACCCCTAAAATCCCTAAAACCCTCAGTGCGCCTTTCCAGCAGATTCAGGCCATAGTTTTGGAACTCCGTCAGGTTCTCACCAAGATCCTTTTAAGGGACAATAGAAGGGACCCCGAATCCTAACACCCTCTACACTTTGGGTTTAGGGCTTAGGGTTTTGAAGCTTAAGGGACAATAGGAGGGACCCCTAGAAAGGACCCCTAATCCTAACAGCCTCTATAACCCTTATATACCCCTTATATAGGTCTCATAAAGCCCCTATATAACCCCCAAGGGTCCCTTTAAGGGTCTTTATTTTAGTCCCTTGACCCTAAACCCTAAACCCCAAGGGTCCCTTTAAGGGTCTTTCCCTTAGTCCCTTGACCCTAAACCCTAAACCCCAAGGGCCCCTTTAAGGGTCTCTCCCTTAGTCCCTTGAGCCTAAACCCTAAACCCCAAGGGTCCCTTTAAGGGTCTCTCCTTTAGTCCCTTGAGCCTAAACCCTAAACCCCAAGGGTCCCTTTAAGGGTCTCTCCTTTAGTCCCTTGACCCTAAACCCTAAACCCCAAGGGCCCCCTTTAAGGGTCTCTCCTTTAGTCCCTTGACCCTAAACCCTAAACCCCAAGGGCCCCCTTTAAGGGTCTCTCTCTCCTTTAGTCCCTTGACCCTAAACCCTAAACCCCAAGGGTCCCTTTAAGGGTCTCTCTCTCCTTTAGTCCCTTGACCCTAAACCCTAAACCCCAAGGGCCCCCTTTAAGGGTCTGTCCTTTAGTCCCAAGATCCTCGGAAATTTCGGGCGACTCACAGCCCCGGAGAGACTCCCGGGCTCCAGGGTTGCTAAACCGTATGCTTGATTTATATAAGGTTTAGGGTTTACGATTTAAGGCTTGGGGCTTAGGGTTTAAGGTTTAGGGTTTAGGGTTTATGTAACCCAGTAAAGCTCATAATTTAGGTGATTTAAGGTCTAGGTTTTATGTAAGCCAGTCAAGCCCATAACTGGTAACAGGAGCCCTACGGAGAGCTGTTGCGCTTGACCTCCTTATGCCGTGAGCCTGCAAGTGTTAAAGTCAAAGTCCTAAGAGCCATCCAGAAGAACACCCTAAACCCTAAACCCAAAACCCTAAACCCAACACCCTAAACCCAACACCCAAAACCCAAAACCCTAAACCCAAAACCCTAAACCCTAAACCCAAAAACCCTAAACCCTAGACCCTAAAAGGGCCGGGCATCGTAGATCCCCCGCCCAGCGTGGCCATCGATGTATGTGAAAGGTTGGCTGTCCGCGGCATAGTGCTGTAGCAGCCTCGGACAGAAATGGTAGCTCCAACCAGAGACCACATTTTGGGGAATTTGGGCTCCACGGAGAGCCGAAAAACCCAGACCCCACACCCGGGAAGTTGCTGTTTGCGGGTGTAGCATTTCGGGGTTGATCGCAAAGCATCTCACGAGAAGGGCTTTATCCGAGTACCCCCATGTCCTCACTGTACACTGGACCAGAAAGAAAGAATAAGGGGATAGCACTGCTAACAATCAAATTCGAACCTCTAGATTGGGCAAGAACGGCTGCAGAAGTAGAACAAGCCCGAAGCCAACATGTCCCTCAATCCTAAACCCTAAACCAAGAACCCCAAAGCCTGAACCCTCAACCCTGAACCCTAAGCCTTATACCCTTACCCAACCTGCCAGCCCAGCACTACAAAGATTAGGAGCCCCCTCCTGGCTTGGGTTTGGGGGGCTTAATCTACTGAGTTGCAGAGTTCATAAGGCCAATTCACGTATACACTTTCAGATCTATCAGGGGTCATATTATCCCAAAAAGTTTAAAGTGTAGTAATTCAGCTACTAAGTCTGGAAGTCGGAATGAGTGGCAATATCTACCCCCTGGTAGCCCGATACACACTCAGACTGTACTATATCCCAGAACCCTACACGGCTGCAGTTGCCTAAAAATAGTGTGACTGCCTAACGGCTCCATAGTAGTTCCGTTTAGGACTACCTTATAGGATCCTAAATATAAACCATAAACAGGAACTACTATGGAGCCTGTGGGTGGGCTACATATCATACGGCACAGTAAGCCCTTTGTGATATCGGAGCAGAATTGCGAAGTCGTTAGGCTTCTATGGCACCCGGGTTTAGGGTTTAGGGTTTGGGCACAGCACCGCCGAGGGGCAGGACCAAAAGGCTGTGCTTCAAGCAGTCCATGATGCTCCCTGCCTTCGACTGACTGGTTCTTAGTAGGGAAAGGAGGAATGGGATTATGGGATTTTGGGACTACTGTAAGGGGACCTTAATAAAATCCTAAACCCTAAACCTAAACCCTAAACCTTAGAAACCTAAACCCTATACCCTAAACCCTAAACCCTAAGCCGGGTCTATCATAGGGATCCATTCCCCCATTCCTTACTAAGCACCCCGAGTCGAGTTGTCAGATGGGGGGTTGGTTTGCACCAGCACAGCTTGACGGGCCCTTGCTTGTGGTAGTTATACCATCAACAGTAGTATGTATGTATATATATATATATAGTTGTGGTAGTTATACCATCAACAGTAGTTTTTATACATAGGGCACTTAGGACGCTTTGGGTATGGAGTCTGGAGGCGCCTTTTTGGATGATCTGGGATGGCACCCAAAACCCAACTGTCTTTGAGGTAGCTACGGTACTTCGAGTAACAGGGCCGACTTCGATGATCAGGCAACGATTTAGGGTTTTGGGGGTCAGGGTTTAGGGTTCAGGAGTTTAGAGTTCAGGGATTAGGGTTTAGGGTTCAGGGTTTAGACAGGGTTGGACAGTCTGGGATTCGGCTCGGAAAACTTGCAGCCCGACCCCCTGGCCTTATTTCTTCATTATAATATGGAACGCCAAAACAGCTATCGGCAATACTTAGGCACCTATATGGGGGTTTCCGAAAATAGGGGGGGACCCTAGTCTAGTACACTAAATAGTAGGATCCTTATTATAAGGACCCCAAAATAAGGTACCCCAAACCCTAAACCCCTAAACCCCTAATCTTCAGAAAGTCCCATATTACTCCCCGCCTGCTCATGGTGATTGTAGGCTCTGAGCGCCGGAGTTGGGGCATGGATCCTTGGATTTAGAAAGGAAACTGCAGGTGGGGAGTTTAGGGTATAGAGGGCTTCCATAAGGCTTCTATAAGGTATATAGACCTTCTATAAGGTTGCATTTAGATGGTTAGGAACTCGGCAAGATTCGGGCGAGGAACTTGGGACCGCAAATCGGGAACGTTTCTGCGCATACATACATGAATACATGCATACATACATACATACATACATACATACATACATACATACATACATACCTACATTACATACATACATCCATGCATGCATGCATGCATGCATGCATGCATGCATGCATGCATGCATGCATGCATGCATGTATGTGCATGTGCATGTGCATGTGCATGTGCATGGTGCATGGTGCATAAGTATGTGCATGTGTACGTACAACGATGTAGTGTATTGTATTGTTTTTGCAGAATATAGATAGATAGACAGATAGGTAGGTAGATAGATAGATGGATAGATGGATGGATGGACAGATAGATAGATAGACAGACAGATAGATAGATAGATAGATAGATAGATAGCTGTGCGTGTGTGGGTGTGTGTGTGTGTCTGCGTATGTAGAGAATAAGGCCCAACATTTGCTGTTTAGGTCAGGGCTGCCAACAACCTACAACACATCAGCGAATCGGGCATAGTCTTCCTTCACGCCCCTCGACCTTTTAAACCCTGAATCCTCACCATAAGCCCTAAACAGGAAACCCCAAAACCCTGAATCCTAACCATAAACCCTAAACCCTAAACCCCGAATCCTAACCATAAGCCCTAAACAGGAAAGCCTATACCCTAGACCCTGAACCCAAACTCTCAAGCCTAAACCGGAGACGCTAAACTCGAAACCCCGAGCCCTGAATCCTAGACCCTAAAGCCCTAAACCCTAAAGCCCTAAAACCCTTAGGGTTTAGGGTTTAGGGTTTAAAGCCCTAAACCCCAAGGCCCTAAACCGGAAACCCTAAACCCTGGAACCTGGACCCTGGCTTTTGATCCGTGGCTTTCGACAGAAGAGCCCTCACTTGCTAAACGCCCGCTTCTGAGGGATCAGGGGAAGTTCTAAGCGAGGTAGCTCTAAAGTTATGCTTGCCTGCTTGGGCTTAAGGTTGGGGAAAGTTATCCTTAGCTAACTTGCCTACTGGGTTTAGGACGAAAGTCATACCGCTCTACTTGGTAGATCAATGACCCTTACAAACTACTTACAAGCCCAATCCATGTACCTATGATACCCCCCACCCACTAACTCCTCTTCAACCTCCACTTAAGGGCTCTCTGTTTCAGGGTTCCTTCTGTAAGGGCCCCTTTGAGGTTTCAGGGCTCTTTCTTCTTTAAGTGTCCCTTTAGGGGTTCCTTCTTTAAGGGTCCCTTTGAGGGCTCCTTCTTGAAGGGCCCCGTTTAAGGCTTCCTCTAAGCGCTCCCCTTTTTTGCGGGTCCCTAAACCCTAAACCCTAACCCCTAAACCCCTAAACCTAAACCCCTAAACCCTAAACCCCTAAACCCCTAAAACCGCCGGCCAGGGCGCCCCAAAGCTTGCAAGGCCTCCCAGAAGGAGAAAGCCGCTGCCCAGCGACCCGCCGCCAGGCAAACATCCATGGCACCTGGGCTTAGGCTCTCTTCTTCAACAACCAGACCCCAAAAAGTTCAAACCTTTTTAGGATAGACCTAATATATAAGCCCTAAAAGTTTAAAGTTCTCCTATTGGCTATCTAAGTAGGGTTTGGGGCTTCGGGCTTAGGGTGTAGGACTTTGGGTTTAGGGCTTATAGGGTTCAGGAGGGACTCCAGAAGCACTTAGAGTTTAGGGCTTAGGGTCTAGTAGAAGGATCAAGTTCAAGAGACTCCAGAAAACAACTAGGGCTTATAAACCCTAAACCCTTAAGTCCTAAAACCTACCTGCAGCCGAAAAGACCCTCCTTTCCATGGCTCCTGATTATGGACTTCTAGATGTATAATGTAGGGGCCTTAATAATTGGAATAGGGTTTCGGGGTTCCTTTAAAAAGTTCCTCAAAGGGTTCTATAGGGGCTGCTCTAAGGGTTTAGGGTTTGGGTGCCTTAATTTAGGAGAACAGGGTTTCGGGGTATATTATACTTTAGTTATAATAAGGAGCCCCCAAATAGTACTGGCGAGAGGCAAGCCCTAAGGGCTCACTTCTAGTAGGGTTTGGGGCTCCTTTATACCAGTTCCTGGCAAGAGGCAGGAAACATGCTTAATATAGGGGCCTTTATAATCAGAA